TGGTGTAAAATACAACTTTGCCACTTTTTATCAACAATAAAACGAAATAGATATAAAACACCACTCTGCCTCATTTCATTTATAAATGAACATATTATCATAAACATATTAATGCCACAAAAATGTGGTTCAGGTAACGTTAACGCAGATTTACTATCTTCACTGCATATATTCATAGCAACACGAAATATAAAACACAACCCTGCTTCTTTTTGTTTTCATTTTAAAAATGTGAAACATTATTGATCATTAAAACTGACATTTAACAAACAGACAGGGTTGTATCGTTTTATTGTATTACACAGTGAAGAGAATGCATAGTAAAAACACACACATATCTATATATATATAAAGAATATTTTATTTATTTTACAATATATAAAATTACACAACCCTGTCTCTTTTTGTTAAATGTCAGTTTTAATGATAATATCCCGTTCAAAAGTATAAGTAGCCTAATAGGTGGCTATAATAAGCTATACAATGAGAAATAAAGCAAACAATTCAGTTAAACTTAAGTCAGCTCTCTAATAGGCTACAAAGTTAAAGTTAAATGGCCTAAATATATAAAGTTATGAAACTTCACTTTTCCCTCAGCCAAAACGATTTGGCATGAAACAAACTATATTAAAATAGTTTAGCATTGTTTAAGATAAACAAAAACATGCACTGAAAAGTTATGTAGATGGTTGATTAGGCCTATTTGTCAAGATAGCCTAAGTAATTGTTTTTCATAGATTAAAATAGCTTTTAAATTACGCAAACTGGCAATATTAGATCGGTTTAAAACACTATTGGTCTCGACTATTTAAATAAAGTTACAGGAATATGACTTGGCCTGAAAAAAAAAAAAATTCAGTCAGAAGAATTTTTTGTCAATTTAATCCCTGCATCTAAAAACATTCTCAAATAAAAATAAAAAATCATAAATAAATAAAATGCATGATTAAATAGCAAAATAAATAATTAATACTAAAATAACACTGGATTAATTAAGTCATTCTAAACTGTTTCTATGATCCACATATTTTACGTTAAACTAAAGCATACCTTTTTGAAAAAGTAGCTATGTAACAAAGTATTTATATATGATATTTTACAATCAATATGCTCAAGACTAATTAGCCTTCCTTGAAATAAGTAGATTTGGTCTATTCATCAATGCAAATTTACTGCAACTGCTGAAATGCAAATTGAATAGGATGTGGGAAAAAATATGTATTGTATACAATTTTATTACAGTTATATGAATTCATTAACTGTGTATTTATTATATGAATGATTAATATAATTATGCATGTATATAAATAGGGCTGTTCTATTATTATTTGTGAGTTTGACACTAATACATTGGATTATTTTATTTATTACAGTTTTTCTATCACTTTTGTAAAGTGAAAAGTTAATATAAATTGTATTTTATTGTTTTGATTTAGAGCAGTAAATAACTGCTATTAAAAGATAACAGGGTATCACTGTTTATTGCTGATTTTAAAGCTTACTGAACTTGAAATGATTTGGATATCTACAGTTCTACATAAATGCATAACATAATAATGGCCCCTCTGTAATAATTGTGGCCCCTCTTGTGCCCCCCAGTTGAAAAAATCCTAGAATCGCCCCTGTCTTGCTGTCCTCGAAAAGTCATTAAAGACATCGTTAAAATAGTCCAAGTGACTACAGGGGCTCAATCTTAAGTTTATCAAACGACGAGAACACTTTTGTGCGCAAAAAAACAACAAAAATAACGACTTTATTTCAACTATTCGTTTATTTCTCCATGAGCCTGTAAGTCAGTTTACGTAGTGTGATTGCGTAGAGCTACGTCACACGTAGGCTCACTATTGGCCGACGCTGGTCATGTGTGTGTGATGCGTGTGACGTACAATAACAGAAGCTTACGCTATTAAACTAGTAACCTGACTCGCGCAGAGGGAGAAATAAACGAATAGTTGAAATAAAGTCGTTATTTTTGTTGTTTTTTTGCACACAAAAGTGTTCTCGTCGTTTGATAAACTTAAGATTGAGCCCCTGTAGTCACTTGGACTATTTTAACGATGTCTTTAATGACTTTTCGAGGACAGCAAGAGCCAGTCCCTCAAGAAGCCCATGGACTGTATGCAGGAGCGATCTTAATATCTTAAATATCTTCATTTCTGTTCCGAAGATGAACGAAGGTCTTACGGGGTTGGAACAACATGAGGGTGAGTAAATACTGACAGAATTTTCATTTTTGGGTGAACTAACCCTTTAAGGAGCATTTGGTGAAGCCACCAATCTTAGGACATCCTAATTTTGAATTACCATTTGTGGTATACACTGATGCTAGTGACATTGGCCTGGGAGCGGTACTTGTCCAGCAGAGAGGTTTAGGCTCTGAAGAAGTTCTGGCCTTCGCCAGTCGGACTCTAAACAAGGCAGAACATAATTACTCTACAACAGAACAAGAATGTCTTGCTGTAGTTTGGGCCCTGGAGAAGTGGCGGTACTACCTGGAAGGTCGTTATTTCACAGTGGTAACTGACCATGCATCACTAGCTTGGGTATTTAAGACCAACAAACCTAGCACACGACTTATGCGCTGGGCATTACGTTTGCAGGAATTCACCTTTGCTGTCGAATACAGGAAAGGAAAATACAATACAGTTCCAGATGCCCTTTCTCGTGCTCCATTAGACCAACCTTTCCTGTCAACCTGTGCCACAGTGTTAAAATCCACCAAAAAGGAGGAGGTGTCTGTCTTTCCTTGTACGGATGATGAGGTATGGAAAGCCCAACAAGAGGATGCAGAAGTGCAAGCATTATATCAGTCTATTCTGGAAGATGGAAAGAAAAGAGTTAATTCCTCTATCACTCTGACCATCATTGAGGACAAAGTCTATCGTATAGTTCAGCTCCCACACCGTACCATCTACCAGGTGTGGATACCCAGTTCTTTACGTGCTAGACTTTTGAATTTCTTTCATGACGATCCTCTTTCAGGTCATCTAGGCAGATACAAAACCTATAGGAGATTACAGTCTCTTGTTTACTGGCCAAATATGAGTTTGGATGTCAGGAACTATGTCCAGAATTGTTCCGTTTGTCAACGCTACAAACCAGAAGCTAAGAAACCAGCAGGCAAGTTACAGCAAACTCTAGTTTCAAAGTCTTGGGAAATGCTTGGTGTTGATCTAATGGGACCTTTTCCCGTAAGTTCCCAGCTAAATTCTTACCTACTGGTCTTTGTTGACTATTACTCCAGATGGGTGGAACTTTTTCCCTTGCGGAAAGCTACAGCTCTATCAGTATCACGAATACTGGTTAAAGAAATCATTACTCGTTGGGGAGTCCCTGAGTACATTCTGTCTGACCAAGGACCTCAATTTGTGTCAGAAATCTTTGCAGAGACTAGTAAGGCTTGGAACTTGACCCACAAGTTAACCACTGCCTACCACCCCCAAACAAATTTCACTGAAAGGATTAATCGGACACTGAAAACTATGATTGCTTCCTATGTAGGAAGCCAACACAGCCATTGGGACCAGCATCTTCATCAGTTCCGTTTTGCTCTTAATTCTGCAGTACAAGAGTCTACTGGTGTTACACCTGCTGAGCTTAATCTCAGTAGACCACTCAGAGGTCCCTTGGACCTTTTGTTACAACCACACACCGTTCTTCCTGACTCACCAGCATATAGTACCCTTGCTCAACTCAACGACTTGAAAGAACTTGTCACAAAAAAATTTGTCCAAAGCTCGTCTGAGACAACAAAGGAATTATGATAAGAAGAGACGCAACCTTGAATTCAAAAACAATGATAGGGTTTGGCTACGTTCTCATCCCCTTTCTAAAGCAGAGAAGAAGTTTTCAGCCAAGCTTGCACCAAGGTGGCAAGGTCCTTATAGGATCATACGTCGGATGGGTCCTTTAAATTACCAGGTTGTAATGGAAGAAACAGGAGAGGATTTACGTACTATACATGTATGTCAACTAAAACCATGTTATCCCACAGCAAAAGACCTGGAGGAAATGCAGCGCGTAAAATTAATGGATCTGTTCCAAGAGGATACAGATGAAGAGGAATTCCTTGGATTTTCTGACCTCAACAATAAGTCTGTCACCTAATTGTTTTGCTTTTTACAAGGGAAAGGGAGTGTGATGAACATGATGTTCTCAGTCACATGATGTTCTCAGTCACATGATGTTCTAAGTCACATGATTCACTGAGTCACATGATGTGTGGAGCACATGGCTTAACCTGTTAACCTTCAGCTCCACAAGGGGGCTCACAGCTGAAAATGACATGCCTGGATAACAATAAATACAGCTCCTGAGAACAGTGTACCACAGGCACAATTAAGGTATCTTTGGAAAGAAGACAGTTGGGACTCTACTAACAATCAATCAGATTTGATAATGCTCAAACAGAAAAAAAGTTATAAAAGTTAAAAGTGCCTCAAAAATAATGTGCGCCACAAAAATGTTTTAGTATTTCATGTACAAATATATAAAAATAGACCTGGAGTAATTCAGATAGATAAAGGATTGAAAGCCACAAGTCTCATCAGTTTATATTTCAAATTTGAGGAAGATATAATGAACAATGGGGTTCCTGCAAACTTTTTTCCAAGACTATGTCAGTTCCCTTTCTCCCTCCCCCTGCCTGAGGCACATCCCCAGAAATAACATGCCCAAACTAAAATATTTGCAGTTGCTCAACTATTTGCACTACATGCACAATTTAGACATGTTTAAAAAGAAGACGCTTTAGAGTGTATTACCCAACTGTTAAAGTTGAAAAAACTTACACAGACAAAAAGTTATAGAATTTAAAGTGTCTTGAAGGTAATTTATACTGCATGTAATATTTTACAATTTCATGTAAAATAAATGAAAACAAACCTGTAGGAATCCAGTTAGGTAATTGATTGAAAGACATAAGTCTAATCAGTTTATATTTCAAATTTGAGGAAGATATTATGAAAAATGAGATTACTACAATATTTTTTCCAAGACTATGTCCAGGTACCAAGAAACCTCCTTGGATACATCAAAAAGCAACCTAATGACCAAATGTTATGCAGGGCACTGCAAGCTATTTCAGTCAATTCATAAAATAATGCAATTATAAAATAATACACACAACCATTAGACTTTATGCAAGTGATTTATTTGCACAACAGAACAAAAAAATATATATGTAAAATACATAAGTAAAATATTATGAAATATAAAAAAAAAATAACTGAGGTTCTTTGCAATAGAAAATACAAGTGATATAAATACTGTACTTTGTTGGCTTGGCCTTCATATATTGCTTTAGTCCATTCCTAGCTTTTGATGCCACCATCCTCTTGACAATTGCAATGTTCTGAAAAGGATGGAAAAAGTGAAGAATAGTGAAGAAACTGAGAGCTTGCATCTCTGGCTGGTGCTTGGATGCCATTCTTCATCTGAAGATTCAACTTGATGGCTGTTGCATGGGAAAGAATGGAAAGATAATTAGCACTGCATGTCAAGTAAATAATTCTGTTTAGTTTCTATATAGCTGGCCATTCATTCAACAATCAAACTGATGGGCAGTCGTTTACACAGCATTCGTACTAAAGCTCATCCATTCAATCAACAATCAATGGCCAGTGATATAGACAGCATTCATATGGATGACCAGACAAAGAACCAACAATCACACTGATGGCCGGCCATCAGACAGGAATGTGGCATTTTGAAAGCATACAACTCCTTCCTATATAGCACATATTTTCTGCAATTCTTCCCACCAATTTCTGCAAAAAAAACAAAAAACAAAAAAAAAACAATATATATACATATATATATATATATATACATACAACATATACATTTACAGTACAACATACATCATATTTACAGTACAAATATTTGCATTTGTACTATAAATATTATGTATATTAGACTGTAAAAATATACAGTATGTGTGCTAGGAAAAAATGTATATTGCACAGGTGTCCAGCCCCTCCATCCTTCAGATAGCACACCACATGTGCCAGAAAAAAACGGCAAACAACTGCATAACCGTACAACGCATATAAATACATATATACAAATAAATAAATGCATATAAAGTAGCATAATCTTTTCAGACACAACTTTACACAATGCATTTTCCGTATGAAACAACTGGAAACCAAACACACTCTCTCTCTCTCTCTCTCTCTCTCTCTCTCACCCACCCACACACACACAGACACACATACGTATAATGTGTGCATGTTACATAAGTTATGTATAAAGCAACTCACCGAAAATTGGATAATCTTTTCCGCCCTCAAGCATAATTATCACCGTCGTCACGATCTTCTCATCACTCATCTTCTCATCAATGTCGACATAATCCATCTTCGAGTGATCTCGAATAACTAACGTTACTTCAGCAGAAAAATACTTCTTTTGACAAATCATTTTATGACAGTCTGCATGTCTGCACGAACAGATGTTTGTTGACTAACGTTAGCTACCTCTTAGCTTGTTATCTTAGCTCTTAGCTATAGCACTGCAGGCTGTCAAAACATGACGGCGGTGGGTGTGGCTCTGCAGAGCCTGAAGTTTAGCTCCTCTACCGGACGGAGAGCAAATAAAAACATATGTTCGTGTGAGAAATTCAAACTTCCCGGGCATCGTTGGAATCGTGCACTGGTTGGCTACACGTTTTATCAGTCATATCATGTCGTTTCTTTTATTAGCTTTCGTTGTAAAGACAGAATGATATGATGTGCATATCATGACGTCAAAAAAACGGACTGCAGTGTTCGCATATTTTGAACTAAATATCGCTTATCTTTGTATTTGTGTGTGTGTGCGCGGTCGTAATTTGTTCATTACACTCTAAGCAACACACCCATATAAGGGTCTGCTACCGGGAGTCTGTTTTCTATGGACTATTTTATTGCATAACAAAACCGCATGATATTCACCCTGAAGAAACGCGATGTAAACAAAGGAATAACCATGGATATTACAACATTATTTTTTCTTTGGACAAAAAATGCTCTATGGGATGTTATTCAGTGGACCCTCAGCTTTCCATTCAATCTGGAATTTTTTAACAGTGGATGCGTGTCTGGCTCGTTATTACAAAATAATGGTGAGTACTCCGTTTTTGTTTACGTGCGTTTTTATGTGTACTGCTTACCTAAATGCAAGAAATACATTTGTTATAAGCTTTCCATCGAAAAACAGTGCACTGACATCGATGCCCGAGGCTTAGACCTTTAAAATTATAGTTAGTTTGCCAAGATTAATGATCTTCTTTCATGTTAAATCCATTCATAAACATTAAACTAGTGGGGGGGGGGAGGGCTTCAGAGCGCCGTCGGTTGCCCGAAGGTTAACTGGTTAAAAGAGTTGGAAGATGGCAGTTTGAGAAGACCTTGTGCAGTGGAAATGTGTGGGAAGTTAAGCCCTACAAAAACCCTGTGAGGTAAAAGGAACATTTTGTTGATTTGCCTTGGGATTTATGGTTCTTTTGGGTGTTCCTGGATGTTCAAAGAAACTACCAATGGTTCAAACAACAATGGAGGACTGATCATTTCGCTAACTGACTGACTGGACAAACCAACCAAGTATTGTTTTTTCTTTTCTCTTTTCTCATATTCTTATGTTGGATTTGCCAGTTGAGACTTTTTGGCATGAGACTTTGTGACTGTGGTTAAAAGTGCTGAGAACTCTTTTTCAACTGCACAGTGGACTGGTTGCTCAGTGCTGGCCTGAATGGACTCTGAAAGGTCTAAGTGCATGTACAAAAAAAACTATGCTGAATTGAGAACTTGGTCAAGAGCTGTTAATGTGAAACCCTTAATGAGTTGAAAGGAAAATAATCTGACTTTGAATGAGCTGATCTGATTTTGTTTAAATACTTGTTATGGTAAATGAACTAAATGAATCTCAGAATTGGGAATTGACTATTTGAGTTGTTGGGATATTTTTCTTATAAATTGAAGAACTTTTGGTTTCTGATTTTGTTTTTATTTTGTTTTTTGTTTGTTTTTTTCCATTTGTGAAACATTATTGTTTTTTCCTCACTGAATGTTATCTTGCGCAACAAAAACTAATAACAGTTTATATGAATTGAGCCTATTGCTGTTTGTTGTTAATTCTTCATCCACAAATTAAGGGTTCTACTTTATTTGTTTTTTAAATGTCTGAATCCTTTGTAAGGTTGACTGACTAAACAAAATATAGTAGGTTTGATAAACCTGCTTGGCACCCCAGTCAATTAGGTCAATCCGTTACAACACCTAGTGGAGGTTGGTTTTGCCTAGCCTATTTTTTGATCTAGGCCTATACCTGCCCTTTCCCTAAACTTAACCATAGTAGCCCTGTGGTCTTCACACCTAGTGGAGTTTGGGTTTGCCTAACCTATTTGGATGTAGGCCTATACCGGCCCTTTCCCTAAACTTAACCATAGTAGCCCTGTGGTCTTCACACCTAGTGGAGTTTGGGTTTGCCTAACCTATTTGGATGTAGGCCTATACCGGCCCTTTCCCTAAACTTAACCATAGTAGCCCTGTGGTCTTCACACCTAGGGGAGTTTGGTTTTGCCTAGCCTATTTGGATGTAGGCCTATACCTGCCCTTCCCTAAACTTAACCATAGTAGCCCTGTGGGCTTCATACCTAGTGGAGTTTGGTTTTGCCTAACCTATTTGGATGTAGGCCTATACCTGCCCCTCCCTAAACTTAACCATAGTAGCCCTGTGGTCTTCACACCTAGTGGACTTTGGTTTTGCCTAACCTATTTGGATGTAGGCCTATACCGGCCCTTTCCCTAAACTTAACCATAGTAGCCCTGTGGTCTTCACACCTAGGGGAGTTTGGTTTTGCCTAGCCTATTTGGATGTAGGCCTATACCGGCCCTTTCCCTAAACTTAACCATAGTAGCCCTGTGGTCTTCACACCTAGGGGAGTTTGGTTTTGCCTAGCCTATTTGGATGTAGGCCTATACCTGCCCTTCCCTAAACTTAACCATAGTAGCCCTGTGGGCTTCACACCTAGTGGAGTTTGGTTTTGCCTAACCTATTTGGATGTAGGCCTATACCTGCCCCTCCCTAAACTTAACCATAGTAGCCCTGTGGTCTTCACACCTAGTGGACTTTGGTTTTGCCTAACCTATTTGGATGTAGGCCTATACCGGCCCTTTCCCTAAACTTAACCATAGTAGCCCTGTGGTCTTCACACCTAGTGGAGTTTGGTTTGGCGTAGCCTATTAGGATGTAGGCCTATACCTGCCCTTCCCTAAACTTAACCATAGTAGCCCTGTGGTCTTCACACCTAGTGGAGTTTGGTTTTGCCTGGCCTATTTTTGATCTAGGCCTATACCTGCCCTTTCCCTAAACTTAACCATAATAGCCCTGTGGTCTTCACACCTAGTGGAGTTTGGTTTTGCCTAGCCTATTTGGATGTAGGCCTATACCTGCCCTTCCCTAAACTTAACCATAGTAGCCCTGTGGTCTTCACACCTAGTGGAGTTTGGTTTTGCCTAGCCTATTTGGATGTAGGCCTATACCTGCCCTTCCCTAAACTTAACCATAGTAGCCCTGTGGTCTTCACACCTAGGGGAGTTTGGTTTTGCCTAGCCTATTTGGATGTAGGCCTATACCTGCCCTTCCCTAAACTTAACCATAGTAGCCCTGTGGGCTTCACACCTAGTGGAGTTTGGTTTTGCCTAACCTATTTGGATGTAGGCCTATACCGGCCCTTTCCCTAAACTTAAGCATAGTAGCCCTGTGGTCTTCACACCTAGTGGAGTTTGGTTTTGCCTAGCCTATTTGGATGTAGGCCTATACCGGCCCTTTCCCTAAACTTACCCATAATAGCCCTCTGGTAAACACCTAGTGGAGTTTGGTTTTGCCTAGCCTATTTGGATGTAGGCCTATACCTGCCCTTCCCTAAACTTAACCATAGTAGCCCTGTGGTCTTCACACCTAGTGGAGTTTGGTTTTGCCTGGCCTATTTTTGATCTAGGCCTATACCTGCCCTTTCCCTAAACTTAACCATAATAGCCCTGTGGTCTTCACACCTAGTGGAGTTTGGTTTTGCCTAGCCTATTTGGATGTAGGCCTATACCTGCCCTTCCCTAAACTTAACCATAGTAGCCCTGTGGTCTTCACACCTAGTGGAGTTTGGTTTTGCCTAGCCTATTTGGATGTAGGCCTATACCGGCCCTTTCCCTAAACTTACCCATAATAGCCCTCTGGTAAACACCTAGTGGAGTTTGGTTTTGCCTAGCCTATTTGGATGTAGGCCTATACCTGCCCTTCCCTAAACTTAACCATAGTAGCCCTGTGGTCTTCACACCTAGTGGAGTTTGGTTTTGCCTAGCCTATTTGGATGTAGGCCTATACCGGCCCTTTCCCTAAACTTAACCATAGTAGCCCTGTGGGCTTCACACCTAGTGGAGTTAGGTTTTGCCTAGCCTATTTGGATGTAGGCCTATACCTGCCCTTCCCTAAACTTAACCATAGTAGCCCTGTGGGCTTCACACCTAGTGGAGTTTGGTTTTGCCTAGCCTATTTGGATGTAGGCCTATACCTGCCCTTCCCTAAACTTAACCATAGTAGCCCTGTGGTCTTCACACCTAGTGGAGTTTGGTTTTGCCTAGCCTATTTGGATGTAGGCCTATACCTGCCCTTCCCTAAACTTAACCATAGTAGCCCTGTGGTCTTCACACCTAGTGGAGTTTGGTTTTGCCTAACCTATTTGGATGTAGGCCTATACCGGCCCTTTCCCTAAACTTAACCATAGTAGCCCTGTGGTCTTCACACCTAGTGGAGTTTGGTTTTGCCTAGCCTATTTGGATGTAGGCCTATACCGGCCCTTTCCCTAAACTTAACCATAGTAGCCCTGTGGTCTTCACACCTAGTGGAGTTTGGTTTTGCCTAGCCTATTTGGATGTAGGCCTATACCTGCCCTTCCCTAAACTTAACCATAGTAGCCCTGTGGGCTTCACACCTAGTGGAGTTTGGTTTTGCCTAGCCTATTTGGATGTAGGCCTATACCTGCCCTTCCCTAAACTTAACCATAGTAGCCCTGTGGTCTTCACACCTAGTGGAGTTTGGTTTTGCCTAGCCTATTTTGATCTAGGCCTATACCTGCCCTTTCCCTAAACTTAACCATAGTAGCCCTGTGGTCTTCACACCTAGTGGAGTTTGGTTTTGCCTAGCCTATTTGGATGTAGGCCTATACCTGCCCTTCCCTAAACTTAACCATAGTAGCCCTGTGGTCTTCACACCTAGTGGAGTTTGGTTTTGCCTAGCCTATTTGGATGTAGGCCTATACCGGCCCTTCCCTAAACTTAACCATAGTAGCCCTGTGGTCTTCACACCTAGTGGAGTTTGGTTTTGCCTAGCCTATTTGGATGTAGGCCTATACCTGCCCTTCCCTAAACTTAACCATAGTAGCCCTGTGGTCTTCACACCTAGTGGAGTTTGGTTTTGCCTAGCCTATTTGGATGTAGGCCTATACCTGCCCTTCCCTAAACTTAACCATAGTAGCCCTGTGGTCTTCACACCTAGTGGAGTTTGGTTTTGCCTAGCCTATTTGGATGTAGGCCTATACCTGCCCTTCCCTAAACTTAACCATAGTAGCCCTGTGGTCTTCACACCTAGTGGAGTTTGGTTTTGCCTAGCCTATTTTGATGTAGGCCTATACCTGCCCTTTCCCTAAACTTAACCATAGTAGCCCTGTGGTCTTCACACCTAGTGGAGTTTGGTTTTGCCTAGCCTATTTGGATGTAGGCCTATACCTGCCCTTCCCTAAACTTAACCATAGTAGCCCTGTGGTCTTCACACCTAGTGGAGTTTGGTTTTGCCTAGCCTATTTGGATGTAGGCCTATACCTGCCCTTCCCTAAACTTAACCATAGTAGCCCTGTGGTCTTCACACCTAGTGGAGTTTGGTTTTGCCTAGCCTATTTGGATGTAGGCCTATACCTGCCCTTCCCTAAACTTAACCATAGTAGCCCTGTGGTCTTCACACCTAGTGGAGTTTGGTTTTGCCTAGCCTATTTGGATGTAGGCCTATACCTGCCCTTTCCCTAAACTTAACCATAGTAGCCCTGTGGTCTTCACACCTAGTGGAGTTTGGTTTTGCCTAGCCTATTTGGATGTAGGCCTATACCTGCCCTTTCCCTAAACTTAACCATAGTAGCCCTGTGGTCTTCACACCTAGTGGAGTTTGGTTTTGCCTAGCCTATTTGGATGTAGGCCTATACCTGCCCTTCCCTAAACTTAACCATAGTAGCCCTGTGG